ATTTCTAGATATTTAAGAAAAATCGTTCTTTTCGTGTAAATATCCTCCAGGTACTAAGCCCTCCCACCACGTCAAGATATCCGTGAGAGGGAAGATAATCTGAAAAATGTAATATATAGCTATTATTTATATATTACTGGCAATTACTATGTAATTGATTAACTTTTAGAAACGAATATCGAACACACATCTGCAATTCGTTATCACTGCGAAATAAAATCAAAGCAGATAGAAGGGTTGAATCTCCTATTTATATGTAGATGATGTCTGTACGATATGATTAAAGTCAATAAAATGGGCTAGAGATTAATAAAAAAAAGAAATGTTTCTTTTACTACCGATAAATAATTCCAAAGTTACGTTTAATTTTTAAATGGAATCGTATAACGAAAGGAGCACAAAAAATTTTTTTATTAAACTATAATATTATATATTAATTGTAAAAACAAGAATTGCATTTGAAAATCAAGTTTAAAAAAATGTAAAAAATTATTTATGTATAATTATGTATAAAATTATATATAATTGTGTAAATGTGAACAATTTTTTTTGCAAACTTGTCTTCTAAAACGAATAATACGAAAATTATCTCTTTAATTATTTTTTATGTTTTCACATTACTATTATTATTTCTTTTACATTAAAAAGTAATTTTACAAAAGAAAGAGGGATGAACATATATGGACATATTTCATATATGATTATACATGTTCATGAATATTTATGTACGTTTATGTATATTTATACATATTCATTCAAACAGTGTTTTGAAGTTTTTTCAAAAACGTATAGAAGTCTATAGACAATAATAATTGAATAATTCCGATCGAATCATTCCGAACAATTTCATAATGTGCGCCCTGCATGATTTCTTGCAACGGTTCTCAACTGCATTTGCATTTACTCATCGCAGTTATCGAGAGGTCTAATTCCTAATTGAGCCACCTTCATGTCAGTGACGTTTTCAAATTGCTAACGGTTAGCGAGTGAATTTCACGCGATCGATCGGAAGTATCGTTTGAAGTGTTCCATTTTTTCAAAAACGTATAATAGAAGCCTATAGGCAATAATAATTGAATAATTCCGATCGAATCATTCCGAACAATTTCATAATGTGCGCCTTGCATGATTTCTTGCAACGGTTCTCAATTGCAATTGCATTTATTCGCAGTTATCGGGAGGTCTAATTCCTAATTGGGCCACCTTCACGTCAGTGGCGTTTTCAAATTCCTAACGGTTAACAAGTGAATTTTACGCGACCGATCGGAAGTATCGTTTGAAGTGTGTGATCGCGTAATAAATATCGCGATTGTGATATCCTGTGATATCACGATCCTCATTATATGTGATATATTTCATCGGATGACCGTAACTGCGGTTTAAACGGATCGGATCAAATCAAATTTATAGCATCTTCGATTTGCTGGCTCGACCCAACTCCAAATCGATGTTTGCTCTTTTTAGTCGCACACGGTTCTTACACGGTTTAGCAGCTAAATAAGATCAGACGCTATTATTCCGTATTTCTTCGGGAATGGATTTCTGCGAAGATTGCCGCGAGTGCCAAGTGAAGTGCGCGAAGCAACATACAAGTGCATAGTGAAAATATAAATGTGGTATATCAGGTATATAATAAAGCCTGATGTAATATCTAGTGTATAATGCATTCATCATTATGGTGTAAAGTGTCGTCAGTGTCGTGCATGATCAGTTATCAGGACACCTAATCATGGAACAAATCGGAATGAATTCCGATCGGAATCCATTCCAACTTGTTCTATGAAGGTCGCTCGGTTC